CCAGAGTAGATTTAGAATGTTCTTTCTAAGCCAGTTCTTGACATCAGCAGGAGCCGTAAGCTTCTTGCCCATAGATGCGCTCTTCTCTTCCCTCTGGCTCTATAGGGCTCTTATGTGTGGGCTTCATACAGCACAGCTGGCACAATCTGATTCCACCTACATCCTTCACCATCCCACAAAATGTCTTCTGAAGGCTCCCCAGTTCTGCAGAGACTAGCTGTATCCTGGAAGAAGGTTTTGGGTTATTTGGGAAAGATCTTTGAGGCCCACATTTGGATACCAGGAACTTGTTTAGGAGGAAAATATGCTCACAGAGTGAGGAGGGCTATACATTGGGTGGAGCAGAGTACCGCCTGGTTTAATCTTCCAGCCAACTAGCTTCCAGCCTTGATCTCATCTACTGTCTGTGGTTATTTTTGAATGCTTTAGAGGCACGTTGAAGTAAATGAACATCTCCAAAGCATTGGAGACTCTCCTGCATCCTCACTGAACATCACAAAACAATGAGCTTTTTCATGTGTTGAAATCCACAGATGTTAATGTGTGACAGCTTCTGTTTACAAAGGTGATTTTACAAAGCAGATTTCCATGTCCTTTCATGAGCTGATGGATATAAAATTGCTTCCATGTTTCAAGAATGGCTATGGTATAACAGAATCAGTACATCTTGAAAACATGCTGTTTGTTTGCTTTAGTCAAATGTCAAGAGAGCTCTGGTTGGCTGCCATGCATGCCTGGCTCTTGGGTGTGTTGCCAATTTCCCATGTAGTGCAGAATTGAAGTTTGGTTAACGAGTGAAAAAGTTATGAAATAAGGAAATGTGAGAATTTGCTAGAAGTAGAGAAGACCAGAGCCTAAACATCATAATTGGCCACTTCTAGCATACTGAGCACTAACTTTATTTGGTTTGTAGGAATAGAAACACACAGCCCCAAAACTAGGTGGTTTCGGGTGTTTTTCATAGTGGTTTAAAATCAGGGTTTTGGCAAGTCATGATCCCTTAAAACTCTGTAAAGGGGTCTCTTCCTTGTGTCTTTCAACTGGCACAGTTTGGGTATTCTGACTATTAATTGCTTTTCTAATCACTGTAACAAAATATCTAACAAAAAGCAACACAAAGAGCATGGCTTTATTTTGGCTCAGTTTCTTTCCACTATGGCAGAGAGCACGTTTTGGGAGCAGGAAAGAGCTGGCTTAATGTGCCAGCCATCAGCAAGAGAGAGAGGTGAATGCTTGTGGTCCACCCCCTCTCTGTTTTATTCAGTCCAGATCCCTGGTTCATGGGATGGCTCTTCCCACATTCAGCTACTTCTTCCCAGCTCAATTTTACCTTTCTGGAAACACACTCACAGACATGCCCAGGGACCTCTCTTTTAGGTGAAGAAATCTGGTCAAGTGAATATTAGAAATAGCCACAGCAGTCAGCACAGCTCCTGTTGCTACCTTCACTCCACATGAACATCTTTCTCACGGCAAATTCCCTCTCACGCTAAATGCATTGGTTCTATGGAGAGAAGGATCTCTCCGAGGAGTGCCACCTCTTTCCCACCCAGCCACATACACAAAGGCCCTATTGTATTTCCAGAACTTCTCACACTTCATTCCAAACATGAAGACCATAATACTGACTGCATGACAAACATTATTTTAGGTGCTTTGCATATACATGTCCTACTTTGTCTAAGCTTCATAGTAAGCCGCTTAAGGGAGTAATGTTATTGTCCATATTTTATATATATAAACATTGAAACACAGACAGCTAAAACAACTTGTCGACATGCATACAGTTGATTACTGGCCAGCACATAGGAAAGCCTGAGAGCAAATCCAACATTAGGACCAGGAACAGGAGCTGTCCTGAGCTATATGGTAGGCAAATAAAATAGAATCAAACGCGAATGCTTTTTATTCAAATAAATGATAATGATCTTATTCTGAAAGCCAGCATCTTTAATTTTACATTTCTATGTTTTTTATAACTGCCTTTACATTGCATCATTAGAGATAATGCTTATGTTAGTGGAAAAAAACTGGCTTATTTGGATATTTTTCTGTTTCTTTCAGTATGCAAAAACAAAGGGACTACTAATAAATAACAAAGCCTACTCTGATATGTAAGAAACAGGATGCTTATAATTATACTTAGTATAATAACCAGTAGAGATAATTAAAAATAGTTTTTCTGATAAAATAAATTTTTTATTATTCTAGTAGTAATTAACACACAAATTGATCAAAAGTTCAGCTTATCAATCAATGCAGTGATTTTGCTAAAGATGATAATAGTTGATAAGAATTGATAGATAATAGATAATATACAGAAAAATAGATGAGAGATATAACATAAACATGATAGATAATAGAAAACTATACAGAGAGAATATAGATAGATGATAGATGGATGAACATATGTTCACGGTATGTTATGTAATTAGCAACTTAGATTAGCAAATTGTTTATATTCTCTCAAATTCAACCTAAATACCTTCAGGAAGGAAAACAAGTTGTATATTATTGCATCTCAAATGGAAAGGTTGCTTGCTTAGGTTTCAGGAAAATTCTGCCTTCCCTTCAAAAAACAAAAGGTGTGGCTTTGGTTTTGTCAAATTTCCATTCTACTATAGATTATTTCATAGCCATAGCCTCTTTTCAAAACAAGATGATAAAGATCGTAGCTTTACCTGTCTCACAAAATTTATCTCAAATGGCAAGACGACTATTTAAACACATCTGTAGATGAGCCATTAGTGTATTCAGTCCTAACTCCCCTTGGTTACCTCAGTACATTATGCCTCAATGTTAAAATTATTTGTCTTCTGCACCACCCAAGGACCATGCATGAAGAGGACCTGCACCCTCTGCTCTGATGCAGCCAATAGGCCGCTCAGTCTCCATGTGGGTTCCCTAGTAAGGGGAGCATAAGCTGTCTCTGATGTGGACTCTGTTGCCTGCTCTTTGATCAACCTCCCCCTGGTGGATGGCCATTGTCAGGCCACAGAGGAAGAGGATGCAAGCAGTCCTAATGAGACCTGATAGATGATAGTAGAGGAGGGATCCCCCCTTTCTGAGAAATAGGAGGAAGAGAGAGGGAGAGTGGGACCAGGAGGAAATGAGGGAGGGGTCTACAATTGGGATGTAAAATGAATAAATTATAAAAACTGAATTTAAATGAAAAAGAAAAAGATTATTTATCTTCCCAATGTGAAGACAGCTTCCAGTTTTGGCTTCTCCACTATTATGATTTACTTTAATGAGACGTGTGTCCTATCACACTGTTACATGCGCCTCGTGTTCTCGCTAAGGCATGTGCATTAAATAACATTTCTGCATCTTATTTCTGAGGGACTGTGTAGTGGCCTCTCCTCACTCTCACAGCACTTCTTCAGATAGCTTTTTGAAGATGGTCACAGTTTCTGAAACCTGTTTATTTTTAACTTTTTGAAATTATAGTATAATTACATCGTTTTTCCCTCTCTTTTTCCTCCCTTTAATTTTTCCCATGTACCCTCTTGCTCTTTTTCAAATTCATGGCCTATATTTTTAATTGTTGTTACATGTCTGTGTGTTTACTCATATAATAATGATTTAAAATATATATAGGAATATAAGTAAACATATATAGTCCTAAATATATAATTATAACCTGCTAAATCTAAATAATGTTACTTGTTTATAGGTGATTTCAAGGCTGACCATTTGGTATTGAATAACAAATTGTTTTTTTTTTTTTGTTTTTTGTTTTTTGTTTTTTTCCCTTGGAGAAGACTCTTTTTCTCACTCGCAGCATACCTTACTTGCCTGCAGTTCTTTGTTTAGAGTTGTGGCCCCATGAGCTTTCCACCTTCCATGGTAGCATGTTCATTGGTGTCACCTTTGCTTGGGTCATTTTTAATCAGCCATCTGATGAGACGTTATGGGTATAATTTCTGACATTTCTAGGGGACATAATCTCACAGCAAACATCTTGTTCCTCTGGCTCTTATAATCTTTCTACCCCCTTTTCTGATAGGATAATGAAGCCTTAAATACAGGAGTTGTGTTGAAGATACATCAGTTTGGGCTGGACACCCCCCCCATCACTTGTTCGCTTCATTTTGATTGGTTCTGGTTTTCTGGAATGGTCTTCATTTATTGGAAAAGATGTTTCTTTAGATGAAGGAAACTAACATTTTCTTCCTGGTTTTTCATTTGTTTTTTTTTTTACCAAGATGTTAGTTTTTCATTGTCTTATTCCAAATTCCAGGTATCAGATATAAATAGTCAATATATTTTTATGTCATAGTGAATAAATGAGACATTCTCTTTAATGACATATTTTGCGCTTGCTTCCTGTTGCCATGTGTAAAGTTCTACCTTCTTTGTCATGTTCACTTATGGTATGCTATCCAAATATGTCAACACTTTCATCTTAGCCTTCACACTGCGCTAACCAATCGGAAAAGCTACGGTGTTTTCTGTGGCATTCGCAGTACGACTAGTCCTGTTTTATCCTTCTTTTAGTTTTTTGGAGACAGATTGTTGCTGTGTAGTGCCACCTGGTCCTCCCCCCTCAGCCTCTCAAGTGCTGGATTTTAGGTGTGTACTGTGGAAACATTTTAATCAGACACTTTTGTATGACTGGCAAATGCTCTCTCTTTGAGGCAGGGGTGAGGGTGGGGGTTGGGGTGGGGTGAGCCTAACTGGCAACTGTAAAAAATGACTTACTTTTACAAGCAAATGCCAAAGCCATCAGAATGCCAGTGAGAATGAAAATTCCAATACAGAATGTTCCTCCCCAATCATAATTAGAATTAGACCACAACCAATTGCCCCAAATGGTAAGCATGTTAGTCCTGGAAACACTGACCATCTATTTCCCACCTTTGAAAGCATGTGAGCAGTTCACAAGTAAAACATCTCTCCTTTTTGCTGACCCAGAAGATTACATTATTTACCCCTAAGGCAGAAGAAAATGAAATTTAAAAATTTAATGTGAATTATTTTCTTACTGTCTTTCACAGGTTTCTCTTCAGAAAGAAAATTCAACCGGTAGAGATGCATGCTAGCAGAGAGGAACAGGCAGTGGGCTCTCAGCTGTGGCCACTTTGCTTCTTCAGGACAGCTGTGAATTTATTCTCCTTTGAGATTTGCTCACGTTTCCTTCCCTGTGTCCTGGATAGAGGAAAAGTCAGGACCACTGAGACACAATAGAACAGCAAGATGCTCTGCAGCTCTGCAGCCACGCTGAGCTTTTCTCCACAATGACACAGGACAGCTGATTACATGCTTCTCCTCAAAACTCTCTTCAACTAACCACTGATGGGTTTGCGAAGATGACTCCAGAACTTAAATGACTTCAGCTATGGTGGTGTGACATTATATACTGATTTAGAATGTACACATATTAAGCCAAGCACAGTGGCACATCATATAATTCCATGGGGAGGTCAGGCGGGATTACAGGGAGTTCAAGGCCAACCTGGGTTGTAACTAGAATGCCAGATCAGCCCATTTCTTCAACTAAAAAAAAATTAATAACACACTGTGTAGTCTCTGGAAGAAAACCTTGTTTTCATAATGGCTAACTTGGTTTTTCATTGTTTTGACAGCTGGAGTAGGTGATATGCTCATTATTACTGAATTTGAAACTAAATGAATGTGAATAGACAATCAAAGGACCTCTAGACTTCCCCTGACTAAATAAGTTAAACTGAATAAAAGGATAAACATGAAACAGTTCTTCCAATGTATCACTTTTAAGCTTGTCAGAACTTGTGAGCCTCTTTCATCTTTACGTAGAGTGGCTTATGGAAGGGTAACATCCTGACGGGATGGTGACAGCCTCCTTCTATCTGCATGGAGTTAGCAAGAACTGCCAAATATATGAATTGAGGTTCTGTCTCTTTGCCAGCTGGTGAATTTGAGTAATGGTTTAAGAAACGTAACTATGGCTTTTTGAACTAATTAACCTAAGAATAATACATACCTAAGTTTTACTGCAGTCAACTTACAAAGTGACCTAACAGGTTTCTAAAAAGTCAGCAGTTTTAAAAGCACTAAGTGCAGCTACTTCAGATTTAAGTGGATATTAGGCATATAATATAGGATAGCCATACTACAATCCACAGACCTAAGGGAGCTAAACAAGAAGGAGGACCATAGGGAGGATGCTTAATTCTCATTCAGAAGGGCAGAGAGGATAGATACCGAAAGCGGGTGAAGAGAGGGAACAGGACAGGAACCTACTATAGATGTCCTCTGAAAGACTCCACCTAACAAGAAATCAAAGCAGATGCTGAGACTCACAGTCAAACTTTGGGCAGAGCACAGATAGTCTGTGGAAGAGTGGGGGGACAGGAGGACCTGAAGGGGACAGGCACTCTACAAGGAGACCAACAAAGCCAAAAAATCTGGGCTCAGGAGGCCTGCAAGAGACTGATGCACCAACCAAGTACCATGCTTGGAGAAGACCTAGAACCTCTGCTCAGATGTAGCTGAAGCCATCCCAGCTAGTAAGGGGTCTCTAGTAAGAGGAGTAGAGGCTGTCTCTGACATGAACTCTAGTGCCTGCTCTTTGTTCACTTCCCCCTGTTGAAGTGGCCTTCTCAGGCTACAGAGGAAGAGGATGCAGGCAATCCTAATGAGACTTGATAGGCTGGGATCAGATAGTAGGGGAGGAGGATTCCCCCTTTCTGAGGACTAAAGGGGAGGGAGGGTGGGGAAAAAAAACTTGCTGAAATAAAAGAAGACCTACTTTTTTAAAAAAAAAAAAGGATTTTGCCAGCATCAACTTGAGTTTCTGTTTGTAAGGATGCATGTTCACGACAAACTGTGAAATCTACAAATATCTCACACTTCTAGATGAACCTAAATAAAAGCAGGAACACCCAGGGCACGTGCAAATAAACCTACTGGATCTATTTAGCTTCACTCCCCAAATTATGTGGCTTGTCTAACTCAAACTATTTTTGTTTTAATTTGTGAGTACACACTGCATAATGAGAAGGTAAAGAAGTCTTAGGAAACTAAGCATTTTCTCTTTGGGCTTTGTCTATGCTGTAGCTTAACTCTTAAGAAAAGCAGAATGATGCTGCCTCATTAGTTTCTGAGCCCTCTGCTTATGCTGCTGTTTATCAGGAAGGCAAGACATACTTGGGTGTCACTTCAAGTGTGTCAGGAAAAACAACTGTCAGCTCTAGGAAGACATTCTGCACATAGGAATATCTCATTTCTTCAGACTGTTAACAAAATCATTGGAATATCTTTTTCTCCTTCTGAATTAAGTCTATGAAACAAGTTGTGTTGATGGAAATAAAAAAATGTACACACAAGAAAATATTCTTCACAGGACATTAACTACTGTCTGCAGCAATAAAACATGGCTTAACTATTCAAACTGACCCTATGGTAGTACCAAATTCACAAGGTGCCAAATACTGGCAAGAATGCATAAATGTTTTCCTAGGGGGAGAACGGTCTGTTGATAAGAACAAATTTTATTTTTCCTCCCAGTTGGAGCACTACAAGTGTGAAAAGAAAACCCTTCACTAAACCCTTAACTGTTCCAGAGAGATCTTCTCCGCTCATTCTTCCTATAGCCCTCTCCCGATAACATGTTCAGAGACTTCTCTGCCTGGGAGCATAATAAGGTTTATACCCTCCTCTGTGGCTGTGTTTTATCTTCACACAGAGTTTGTGGGCATTAGTGAGGAATAGCTGTGTTGTTTTGAAAGGAAAAGAGGTCGTGGCACCTGTCTGAGGAAGGAAACATGAAAGCAGGCACGCTTCAAGAGTCTGGGTGATCACGGAGAATTTGATCTTTGACTTGAAGATATCACATGAAGAGAAACATGTGTTCACTTTGTTTGGTTGCAGTGTAAGGCTGGAAGAAAACTGCAGGCCTGATAACATCCAGGGCATAGGTCAGCTTTGCCTCCTCCTCACTGGCTATACCTTTGTTTTATTTGCTTTAGGCTTTATTTTCTGTTTTATAGTGTATGCACTGCTCTCTGATACTAGAAAAACATTATAATCATGCTCTTGTGATGGATAATTGATCTGAATCTTAAAAAGGATCAGGAATCTTCCCAGAGATCCATGACAAGTAGGTGACAGAACCAAGATTCAAAACTGTCCTCAGAGGGGCAGCCCAGGTATGTGGATGTCACAGCTCTGCTCTCTAGGCCAGCCCGGAAAGTTCTGCTCACTGGGATGCTCTGTTTGGTTTTCATTAAGTTCTATCATCATAGGAGCATAGTTTTGAAAAAAAAATGGTTAAAGAGATAGTATGTACTGTATGGAATTATTAAGTTACATCCCAAGTTAAGAGAAATATCCTATTTAGATTATGAGAGGAAGGAAAGAGGGGCACAAAGTGTGTGAGTTACTCGAAGTGTGGGCATGTTGTTGCTTTTGGCTTCCAACACTTTTAACAAAGTCCAGTCACTGCACACTCAGATCTGAAATCCATAGGCTGCTAATAGATATAGCAGCCCCACTGTCTTACATGCCCTCTTAGTTTCTGTTAAGCGGCCCTGCTGCCTGCCTCTTGCACTGCATGTGGCTAGATCTACCTGTAGAGAGGACAGAGCCAGCCCAAGGTCTCCCCAAATTAATGGCCCTGCTGCTGCTTTTTCCCCCTGTTTGTTTCTGCCCTTTCTGTCTCATCCTGCTGAAATCCTCATGATTATAGTTTCTAGAGAGCCGTTCTGCAGCATTAAGGGTGCAGCTGCTCTGAGTCTTCTTTCTATGCCCAATTGCTTGCATCCCAGCTACACGGCTCAAAAGCAAAATTTGCTGTAACCATTATTTGTCAGTTATTTCAGAAACCATTTCTTACGCCTAGTTTCTCTTTCATAGTATTCATGTTCCATCTTCTGCTCCAACAGAGCAGAAGCTACTATGAGGAACATTGTGTTAACTTACTTCTCTTTCTCCGATAAAGCACTGACCAAAGCAAGTTGGAAAAAGGGATTTCTTAAGCTTAGAGGTAACAGTCCATTCAGGGAAGCCAGAGGGGGATATCAAGAAAAGAACCTCGATGCAGGAACATGAGGAAAACATGAAGAAATGCTGCTTACTGCCTTTTCCCCAAGGCTTCCTCGGTTTGCGTTCTTACGCAAACACCTGATCATGTGTAGCACTACTCGCGTGGGCTGTGTCTCTTCTTGGGTATTATTTTTTCTTGCTTTCCTAGTACTTTCAAATGTGTCATTAAGGTAATAAGATTTCTCTAGTGTTTTGATGTAGGCAGTTGGTGCTTTCATTGTTTCTTATAGGTTTTGGTATGTTGTATATTTTTTTATTCAAGTCTAAAATGTCTTTAATATCTTTCTTTCTTGATTTTTGTCTTGACCCAATCTTCATTTAGTTGTGAGTTCTTCAGATTCCATGAGTTTGTGTACTTTTTGCTGTTTCTATTACTGTTGATATCCAGCTTTAGTCCATGGTGGTCAGAAAGGATACAGGGTGTTATTTCATGTTTCTTATATCTGTTGAGACTTTTTGTGTCCTAATACATGCTCAAATTTTGGAGAAAATTCCATGAGATACTGAGAAAAAGTCTATTCTTTAGTTTTTGGGTGAAAAGTTCTTTCTGTAGATAGCAGCTAGGTCCATTTGATATGTGACATCATTTAGTTCTATCATATCCTTGGTTTTGTTTGTTGGTTTGTGTCTGTGTGTCTTGTTGTTTTCGGATGACATCTAGCTTCTTGATGTGGGCACTTGGAGCAATGAATTTACTTCTTAGAATTGCCTTCATGTGTCTTATCTGTTTGGGTATGTTGTATATTTATGTTTATTCAAATATAAAATTCCTCATTTTTGTCTTGATCCAATTTTCATTTAGTTGTGAGTTATTTAAACTGGCAAGTAGGATACTGAAGTCTCCCACTGTCACCGTGTGAGTGTCAACATGTGATTTTAGCTGTAGTAGTTTTCTTTTATGAACTTGTGTACAGTATATAAATGTTTAGAATTATTATATCTTCTTGGTGGATTTCTCCTTTAATGAGTATATGGTATCCTTTGTGCATCTCTTTGGATTAGTTTCCGTTTGAAGTCTATTTTCAGATATTAAAAGAGCTGAATTTGCTTTCTTCCTAGGTTTATTGGCTTGGAATAACGTGCTTTTCCATACTTGGAAACCAAGGTGATGGTGAAGTGTGTTTCATGGGTGCAGCAGGAAGATGGATTCTGTTTTCTAATCTAGTCTGTTACTGTTTGTCTTTTTATTGGGGAATTGAGACCATTAACACTGAGAGTTATTAGTGAGCAGTGTTTTATGATTGTTATTATTATTATTCCCTTTATTTTGTTGCTATAATGTGCTTATTTTTCCCTGAAAGCCCTTGGAAAAAAAGAAGCAGACACACTCAAGAAGAGTAGATGACTGGAAATAATCAAACTCAGGCCTGATATCA